ACCACTGCAAATTACTTTAATTAATTTCCCTAAAAGTAAATGATTTACGCCCAATAACATTGAAAATAAATCGAGTACAAAGAGTTAGTAATTGTATTAAAACGAATATAATTTGTGATTTTAAAATTACGATGATGTTGAACTTTCACACCTGAGCGTATGAAAGTTTATGTTAATTAAGCACTTCATTTTATTCGCCACTTTGACATGTAAAATTAAATAAATCAATGAGATGAAAATATATTGGTGATAAATATACATGTGACTTCAAAGCATATAGGACCATACAGGATTAAGTATTCTTCTTTTTCTTGTTTTAAAGAGATAATGCATATTATGTAGTTTCTTTATCATTTTATAATTTACTATGTCTACCTTTTGTTAATTCGAATCGTTATATGGGGTACATTTCTCTGTTGTCACTTATTTCTTTGATTGACGTCTTATATCTTGTGTACTTATAGATGTTTATTTAACTTTCATAAGATCCATTAAATCGTTTCATGTAAAAGCAGTACGGACTAGTTGACGTTATTCAATATTCTATACTTGTAAGCCTTATTTTTTATTATTTATTTATTCATTCCACAAATAACGACACTTTGTTCTCTGCTAATTCTCGCAGAAAGTGTTCGATCAAACCCAAAAATGTGATCGTGGAAAGAGTAATTTAAAAATATTAAAAATGTATTTAACTAAAAGCTTCAACAAATGTTGAAACCATATAAAAAGTATTAAAAATGGAACATATATATAATGAAAGTTAAATAAACATCTATATACGTGATAAGACTAGCAAGTATTTAATACCGGACGGTATCAACTACTCCATATCGCTTTTACATTAAACAATTTAATGGATCTTAGGAAAGTTAAATAAACATCTGTATATAAGATGCAACTGTCATAAGTGATAGTTAATACCAAGCTTCGAGACAAATTTTATATGATGTGCCTGAATAAGTAAAACGTTCTGATAGATATGAAGCAATAGATATTTTCTTTCTTTTAGTGAAATCAAATGTAGATATGGTTCTTTCGTTCTTGTATTTGATGCGGAGATGTGTTTATTGGTGCATTACTAATATTCACTTTCAGTTTCTTACTTTCAAAGTAACGGAGCATCATTATTCATCACGAAAACAAGTTGCTGAGAGAAATTGCAGTTTTACCTCGAAATATGCAATGTATCCATAAACAGTGGAAACAGTAATATTCATCCACTTTACAACTTCATGTTTATGTTTGCGAGCTAATCAGATTGAAATTCAACAATCTTGCATTACCTTTCTTTTTTCTATCTTCATTCTTCTTTTGCAAGTTTCTTGGTTATAATGGAGAAGATAAATAATTCGATAGTAATATAGCTAATGAATATCAGAATATAAATTAGAATAAATAAAATAATATAAATTTAAAATGATTGAAATCCTATTTTGACAGAATTTTCCTACTCTTACATTAGGTTTATAATTTTATTCTATTTATTGAACAAATGGAAACAATTATGGCGAATTTCAATTATTAAATGTATAATTTTACTTGCTCGAATATTGTGTGAATAAAAAATAGAGATTACTATTGCTTTGTCACAGTACCGTACATTCTGCTTTAACAATTAAATAAATCTTCTTTTAACTCTTTTTAAATAGTAGCGATAATATTTCTGTAATAATTTTAATGAAGCAGTTATTAGTGCGCACTCAACTTTCATTTTATGTTTATAATTATAAAATTGCCTAATTTTGCCACACGAACACAACCATTGAAAAAATTTTATTCGTGGAGATTTCAACAAAAAAAAATTGATTTCAATCTGTTCACATAACAGTCCAATCAGTCGGACGTTTTATGTCGTTTTCATTATTATACGATATTACTTCAACTTTTTTATTTCGATTTCGTAACTACGTTTCGCCACTAGGTTTCATCATTTACAAAGTTATTTTATAACGATATTATGCTTGGTCTTATGTTCCAAATTATTTAACAAATTTTTAATTTTATTATCATTAATACGCACACATGAAATATATTATAGATTATTTTAAAAGATTACAAAATATCAACGAATTTTTAACATTTATTCGCTTTCATGCCATGTGTTTGCATTCAAAAAAGTAAATGTAGGTGAAACCTGTCGTTTCGTTCATAGGCTGCAGCTGCAACACACCTGCTGCCATCATTTCGCTGTAGGTATTGATGTACCCCTATCAAATAGAATGTTACAATATTTTTTTACAAAATTTCAATTTGAAAAGTCCATATAAGTAGTTTTGTTGTCTCAAAGAAGGTGACTTTCAAAAGAACTTGTTTTTCTCGTTGAACGTTTATAATTTTCATTCGTTATTTTCCGCACCATGCAATTTTTAACGTCAATACGTACTTTTCCATACGGTCAAAGTTATTACTATTGTAATTTGTAGGTTGCCATTAGTTGCGTTTTCATTAGGGAAATTAATCATTGGTTTTAACAAAAATTCGCCATCTGGTCGACACACTTCTGATCGCGGACCACCTACTTCTTCGAAAAATTCCGTTCCCAATTCCAAATACGGATCCACCTTCAATAAAATCCTTTTAGTGAAATCGGTCTACAATTTATATTGCATAAACGTATCTTGTGTGGGACACGTGCGTCACCTTTTCCTGTCGTATTTTGTAGTCTATGAGTAACACAATCGTGTTCTTCATTAATTTCGCGTGAAAAAGTGAATAAAATAAATAGACAAATGTATATGTGAATACATTAACACTAAAACCAGCGGATGAGTGAAATTGACTCACTTCAGAATTTTTATTTTGTGAATGTTTCAATTATGAAGGCGTTTTTGCGAAAGTTTTTTAATTCAATTTGTGTACTTGACTGTCCGAATCTCAGGAAACGTATTATTCTAATTTTTATAAAAAACTGGAAATAGGTAGTTCTAATTGCTCGGTAGTTTAAGTGTCAGTTGTCTTTATTATTCATGAAAAGACGGCTTATTTGAATCGATCTATTAATTTGAAATGTCTGCACAGTTAACGACGTTGTGTGCAACGTACACATTACGTATTTCTATTCATAGGCATTGTACTTATGTAATTCTTAAACAACTTAATTGACCGTATTTCGTGTCCACTTGAGAAATGCACTACATATTCTTAATAAACAATAAAGAAATTTTGAACAAATTTTCTGTGTGTTTATAATTGATTTTATTATCTCAAATACGAATTGCTTCCAATGCTAATAATATTTCAATCAGTTATTACTGTATGGATTTGAAAATATACTAATTAATTAATACTATTAATTAACTAATTTATAAAAAATATTAATGGTGATGAAAATTGTCGATTAAAAATGAAAAGTCAACTGTTAACTAAATTAAAAATTCAAATTCAAATAAAAGACAAACATATAGGAAACATCACTGAAAAATTCAAATTCATTTATTTAAAACAACGACATTATATATCGAAGAACGAACATATTTTTTCTCCGGGTATTGAGGATTTTGCAGTAAAAAGTATGCAGTTACATTTTTAACGATTTTAAAGTCATGATATGTAATACGCGTAAAAAGAAATTTGTACATTGTTTGATGCTTTTCAGCATCAATGCCTTTTAAAATGCATGTTATGCATTTCAAAATGCATATTACTGAATTAATCTGATTAAAAGTTTCTTCGAAAAATATGTGTATTGTTCTAGAAATTGTAAAAGAAGAAACTCAAAATGGGTGCTTTGATCCATCTGCTGAATGCACAGTAAGACGTCGGATTAAGTAAACTCAATAACCCGACTGCTTAAATTGTAATTTTTAAAATGTATCCCAAATTATAAACGATCGAATTTAGCAAATATATTCTAAAAAATTCCTTCTCGAGTCTCCATTAACCTGAAATGTTAGCCGCCCAATTAAGTCTCACAATCAAGATTCGGCTGCGACATTAACACATTCGCGACCGGTAACGTAGTCCTACGGCATTTTGAATTCTTCAGCATAATACCATTAACTTAGTCCTATATTATTTCAAATTTTGTATGGAACATACAAATAACATAGTCCTATATAATTTTGAATTCTTTAGAAGAATACGATCAACGTAGTCCCACGTAATGTTAAATTTCTTTCTCAAAATGCCATTAGCACAATCTCATCTTATTTTCTATTATTCACAAAAATATCCAAGGTAACTCGAAATCTTACTAGCTTATTACATCTACCCTCACACCTACGATCCCATTCGAACACTAGACCCATTCACTTATAGACTCCTACCAATTATACACAGCCGGGATTGCGTTAACACTAAAACCACCGAGCGTTTCACACGATTGATGCGTAATCCCTCTAAAAATTGTAACAATAAATTATTCTCAATTTCTTCAGATACTCGTTATAATATTCAAGTGACAAGTACATACCATATATCTAAGAATATAATATAGAAATACAATTTAAAACATAATTAATTTGAGAAGCTTTTCAAGCTACTTATATTAAACTTTTTAAATGGTACGTTAAACAAATAAATAGTAACGTAACTTAAACGATTTAAACTAGTCATTTTGACGGATAAAGCAGTTCTACTATTAACTAAAACGTTCAGAAACCAATGCGGTTAAGTCGATTTTTCGATATTTCCTAATTTTCGTAAATTTTAATAGAATGAATAATATTCTTTTCAGTTTTTAAAGCATTCATTCGTTTCTTCGGTTCCTCTAGGTCAGAAAGTCCTTCTCTTTAAAACTTCCGAACATGTTGTACAATAACCTCAGAAGCCAAAACATTAATTTTCTCAATCCTTCTTTTACAAACTTAACCGCATTGGCTTCCGAGGAACTCAATTATTCCCCGCGCGAGGAACTTTCTCATCCGCAGGATCCGGCACCCGCGGCAGGCTACGTCACTGTGCCGGCTCACACCTGTTGCCCTGGATAAGAGCACACCGGTGATACGTCACTGGCTGTAAACTGTTGGCACGGCTCACCTGTTGGCCTCACCAGTGCTCGGCCAGGTTCTTAAGCGTGCGGTTCCTTTCGCTTGGCGCTGCGTCTCGCGCTCGGTCGGTTCCTTTATCGCGTTGCCCCCAGAACGAGAGAGAAAGAGAAAGAGACTGTGGCTCGCCGGGGACTTTTTCCGCGAGCGATTTTCCCGTGACCGGGCAACCCGTGCGCGCACACAAAATCGACGCCGGTGTCTCGGCTGGCCCGCGCGTCCGGCACCGGCGGAAGTGAACGAAAATCTCGAGGAACGCGAACGGACGAAAGAAAAATACAGGACAGTGACACAAAGGGAAGGAAAAAGAGAGGGAAAAGAAGGAACAGGAACTGTCTGAGGGTGAACGGGGCCCCGACGACGACGCCCACAAAACGGAAACCGCTTCGATTCACCGGCGCACGGAAGAGGGAGGAAAGGGGTAGGGTCGGCACATGACTTTCCACGGATTCCTGAACGTCGTGGAACCGCGTTGAGCCGGATTGTATGCAAATACTCGAGGAAATATCCGCGGGCAGCCTGTGTCTACTGCCTCTCTGTCCGACCCCGCCAGCCTCCGATCGGCTATCCTGTCGTTATTTACGCCGCTGACTAACGTTCCCGTGGAAGAGGTCCACTCGAGGCGATCGTGCATACCGCGCGATCATTTCGCACACCAGGTACTGACAAACGTGATTTCCAGTTGACTCGTTCACGGGTCGGTACGATTCACTCCGGTTTTTCGATGTTGGCTTTTAGTGGTGGAACGTTCGGTGGATTTTTGCGTGGTGAATTTGTTGAATTTTTGTACAGAGTTGGTTGCTTTGGCGAGTGAATGGCTCGCTTGTTGATATCTAGTAACGAAACTGGTAAACATCTTTTGTAGTTTAATAGAAGATAGAGGCACCGTGCAATCTATCGGAAAGATTGATTTTTGCTTTTGCAGCTTTACTTTGCACAGAAGGTTCTGACAAACGTGATGTCCAGGTAAATCTTTCATGGGTGGATATGATTGGTTCTGGTTTTTCGATGTTGAGTTTTACTGGAGGAATGGTCGGTGAATTTCTTTGAATGATGACTTTGTTGAGTTTTGATATTGTATGCAGTTGGTTATTTTGGCAAGTGAATGTTAATATTTAGTTAAAAAACTGATAAACATTTTTTCTAATTTAATAGAAGATAAAAGCATCATGGAATCTTTTGAAGAAATTGATTTCTCTTAGTTTCATTTTGCACACCAGGTACTCAAAAACATGTTTCCCAGTTAGATCTTTCATGGATCGATATGATTGATTCTAGAAGCACTCTACCATCTTTCAAAGCAACTGATTTTAGTTTCCTTAGTCTTATTTTGCACATTAAGTATCAACAAACATGATTTCCACCTGAACTGCTCACAAATTAATATATGTAACATCACTGTTTGTGTTTAATATTGTCAAACTTTAGTACCTAAACACTTCATGCATTCTTTACGCAACAGTTTCATCGAATTTTTCTATTTTCCATTCTATGAAATTATTCAGTGTAGTTGATCACATAAATTGCTCATATATCAAGCAATCGTATAGTATAAATCTGTTCTTTTTCCTTTTTTTTGTAATTTCATTGCGCGTCGCGTTTAAGCTGAAGCGCGAGGGTTTGTTCATTTATTTAATAATAAAACTACCAAGCAAGCAGAGTAACTTATTTCCAACTTTGTATAAAAATTCAAGCAACTTGTTTCTTGAGATTTGAAGGGTCCCTTAGTCCTGTATCTGTGTAAATACACGGAGGTAATTAAAAATCTTTCGCAAAAACACCTTCACAATTGAAATAATTGCAAAATAAATATTCTGAAATGTGACAATTCGACTCGTCAGGTACTTTTAGTGTTAATAGAAGCTAGAAATACGCTGCAACCTGTCGGAGCGGCTGATTTTAGCTTTCCTGCGTTTACAATTAGATACCGAAACCACGAGGTGTTCATGTTCGAAACTATTTTTAGAATTGGTAGGTTGTGATTTGAATGAGCCGAAGGTTGCGAGTATAAATATAGTGGTTCTAATTCTAAGAATTTTGTTGCGGTGCATAGCTAATGCGTGTGATAGTAACGAGTTGTAGATAGTTTAAACTTGGAATTTCTATTTTACTACTTTGCGAAGCCGATGATGCAAAGAAATATTTGATATAGTATTCAATTCTTCGAATGATGGAAACAAGATTTCCTTGTAGGAATTAACAGGAAAACAAAGTATTCGCCTAAAAGTTTCCTTTCAATAATAAGGTGATCAGCTTTTATGATAAATGTAAATTTATTTAAGTTTATTCAAGTGGTGTAATTTATTTAAGTGAATACCGTGAAGGCTATTTAAATGTTTATTTCTTTCATAACTTTTTGGTTGTTAACAATAGAATTACCGAATATTTATTAGGGTTGATATGTAATCCTTATATATATTGTAATTTTTCCAGATATTTGTTATAGTATTTAACACTCGATTTACGGAACAAGTCAATTTATTGAATATTGAACTTTATAAACATTATTTGGAAAATATTTGGGACACTTTTAATCGATACAGTTATGCAAATGTGTATGCTTATTGTCTACTTTTAAACCTCTAATCTGCAAAATCTAAGTGAACGAATATTAAATTTTCTAAGAACAGTAGAACAAACTGTACAATTGATGTCCGTTAACCTAGTGTTAGTAAATGAAACTATTTATTTTCAAAATCATTTTGGATATACAATGCTTTGAAAATATCAATAAATTAAAACCAGTCATTTTGTTGAATTACATGAATTTATTCTGATACACTTAGCAATATGGAGTGTCATACTAAATCATGGGTTCGTTTAGACGAATCATTTATTACTGAGATACATTCTGTTCGAATAATAAAACGTTTAGATATTAGAATAGTAGAATGATATTTACAATAGGTGCTTGAATATGAGGGTTTCTATTGTAGTTTCATGCTTACAATACCACAAAGGTCGTAAGAAATCTTTAAGAAATCATTTTTATGAGAAATCATGCATGAATCATTTGAAATTCCGTGTACAATAAATCCTTTAACTTTAATTACATTCTCATTGAACGCGCCAACCATTAGTCAGTCACAGGATAATAATTTCACTAGATTTAAAAATTAATTTTCATGATTTATTGAATAAGTAAAATCTTATTAAGATTTATAGAACACAGAATGTTAAAAGCTAATGGCTGTGGAGCATCGTAATGTTTGATATTCTATTTCGTCGAGTAAATTGCTTCGATTTTGAAAGATTTCTATAAGTTACGATCTAACAGTTGATGAATTGACGTGTCACACTATATTAGGGAGAAGGGAGTGTTATGATACAAATACCACAGGAATTAATGAGAGGAGAATATGAACGAAAATAAATTGAAACTAGAATTTAGAGTAGGATAATGTGAGACCTTGTGTGTGGAAGGTGATTCTAGGAATGTTTAGAAAATTATCCTAACAGAACTATGTGATATAAATATAGATTTTGTGTTGGGACATTATTTCGAAAATACATTAAAATACTAATAAAAGGTGGGAATTTAATAATATTCGATATATTATAATATTGTGTGATATATTATAATATTATTTATTGTGCTATATCTCATAAACAAAAGTTCTAATTAAGTACAATATAAGACACTGTATTAAATGACTTTTATAAACAAAGAAGTTAAGCAATTAAAGCTCTGTCACAAGTTTACAAAACCTGGTAGAAGAAACTTCTGACGAAAGAAATTTTGAGACGAATATTCGAACAAAGATTTTATTTCTGAAAACAATTTTATTTTGACCAGGAAATGGAGAACGTATTGTATTCACGTCTGGTGGTGAAGTTGCATATTCCAATAAGAGGTTAGCATTTATAAACGAGAAGATGAATGGATATTAAAAAGCAATGGAAAACAAAGTGCGAGGAAAATAAGATTTGCAACCATTTTGAAATATTACGCTCATAATACGTGCTTAAATAAAGTTTCGTAAGGATATTTAAATATTTATGAGTGTCACATTAATGAGTAGGTTACCATTAAATCAAATACGTCAATACCATGGACCAAGTTAGAATTTTTATATTCACGCATATATACTGAATGTAGGATCCTATTGAAAATATATATCAGTTGAAAGATACCGGAAGACGTCAAATGATAAGATATTATTATTGATTTACACGGAATGCTGTAAAATGATACTCACTCTTTAGGTACCGATGCACCATGTTTTATTGAACTGTTTTAAAATTATTTGGTTAACCCTTTGCGTATGATTTATTTCCTAACTAAAATCAATACAACTGCGTTTTGACGATAATTTATTAGGAAAAGAAAAAGTGCTGATGCTTGTCCTATGGCTACGTTTACTTCAAAGGTTAATTATTGATAATAGAAATCTAGTATTTAATTAATATTTAAAAAAATTAAATAACACTTACATTTGATAAATTCAGTTTAAAATTGTAGTCAAAATATTGTAGTCAAGGGGTTAACTTCGGTGACGTAAAATTAGTATTTGTACTTTAAGGCGCCTATGAAATTATTCTTATGAATTTTTTGTGACTTCTATAACCTATATTTAATAATTTCATTCTTCCAATACAAGTTCATATGCAGTACACAATATAAGATACGATTAAATTTATTAAATATATAATACTAAAATTATATTATTATAATATAAACAAAATAGATGTGTATTACAGAGAAAATCGTATCTTACAATTAGTCGGAGCAGTATGCACACATAATGAACTTTAAAATTAAATTATCTCGAAAATTGAATATTAGATAAACAAATTTTATTGCATATTTTGTTTCTTATATTTTCATAAGAGATCGCTTTTCCTTCGTATGCCATGTTATTCGAGTGTATTCTGTATAAATATTTCTCTATATTTATCTAAGATTTTTATTATGAAGTGCACACCTATATATTCTACGCAATGACGTCTATTAGTAATGAATAAACAGATTCATATTAATATTACATATGAAAAATATTTGATCATATAAACAGTTTAAAAATAAATTAATTATCATATATGTTCGTCGTGTTTATATATAAAATTATTTTTCAACCTTCAGTTTTTATAATTACATACATAAAATACGATAACTCGACATCGATATCTAAAAAAATATAAATAGCTACACTGATGTACGAAAGTTTTGTTTCTTTTTTCGTGTGCTCGTCGCAATGGGATACGGTTGACAAAAAGCATAACGTATTACGCGATTTTCTCGCCGCCCTGTGTATTTATCTGTGCAAAATTTACTTCGTTGGCGGCACCGGTGAAAGCAATTCCTACAACTTCGCAGCGATTACCATATACAACTGTTGTCCACGAGCCATTTTTCTCGTCTCTGAAAATAGATTCTTAATGAATTCCAAACGTATCGAGTTCTGCTTTGCATGAAACTTGTGCAACCGGCTGCACGTATATGTGCAAATAAACGTTAATTACTTTACCGCGTGGTTTGTGTGATTGCAGGAGAAGGTTTCTAAGTAATAAATTCAAAGTGTTTAATCGATAGGAATGAAATCAGTTTTCAGTTTTCAGTTTTCAATATCAGTTTTCTATATCGTGATGCCCATATATACGAAAAGAAATGTTTAAAATTATTTATATGAAAGTGTTGATGTAGTATCCAAATAAATGA